TTATGGCCGGTCCGCTTGAGTCGGTCCACGGTACGGTTAGGCGTTGTCGGTTATACTGGTTCTACTCAGATATCCTTATTACCTTCCTGAGCTACCTTAAGCTTTCTCATACGGCCGGTAGTGGAAGAGTTAAACGGTAGCTTAACTCTTCCACTACCGGCTACTAACTTAACAGTACTAATTTAACAGTGGTAGAGCTAAGCGGTAGCTTTTGCTGTCGCACGGATGGGCCAGCTCGAACCGGGGTGGTACCATGACCTCACAGAATACCAGCGTGAAGTAGAGGTTTACCTCTGCGTTGCGCTTGGTGAGTGCAGGTGGCCGGAGGCCCAATTCTCCCCTCCCCCCCCATCAACATGGTAGTAAAATTAAATAAAAGACTACCCCAGGAGGGTACTAGCACCCCTGGAGAATCCCTCGCTGAGCATCCACGACCAAACTACTTCACTCCTGAGCGTGTGTGCTCAAGCTCCTGTAAAATACCATCACGCTATAAGCAGGAGTTCTACCGGGCCCGGGCTGACGCATCAACGTTTCGGGATGTAAAGACCAGCGCACTTAAAAAGAAGTATAATTCCGCCTCCAGGTCCTTCAAAAGCGTTATTGCCAAGGCTGAGCACATCAGCAGAATTGGCGAGAAACTAGTTCGCCTTCCTTCGGGAACCCGTGCATTCTGGTCTCTCGCCAAGGCTGTCCAAGGCAACTTCTGTCAGCCATCTCTTCCATCTCTGCACAAGGAGGACGACTCACTGGCCCATGCCGCAAAGGAGAAATATGATCTGTTGAGCTCTCTTTTTGCATCCAACTCGACTCTAGATGACGGGGGGAACACACCGCCGACCATCCCGCGATGTGAGCGCTCCATGCCGGATGTGCGGTTTACACAGCGCTCGGTTCGCAAAGCACTCTTCTCCCTGGACATCAGCAAGTCGAGTGGGCCCGATGGAGTCCTTCCCATTGTGCTGAAGACGTGTAGTCCGGAGTTGGCACCGGTTTTAACGCGGCTTTTCCGATACTCCTACTCCCAAGGCGTAGTCCCGAATTCATGGAAGACAGCTTTGGTCCACCCGATCCCTAAAAAAGGCGACCGCTCAGACCCGTCCAACTACAGGCCTATTGCCATCACCTCCTTGTTCTCCAAAATAATGGAATCCATTATAAACTGGCAGCTCATGAGGTACCTTGAGGATCACCAGCTGATTAGTGACCGCCAGTACGGTTTTTGTCGAGGTCGATCAGCTGGTGATCTTCTAGTCTATCTGACTCATAGATGAGCGGAGGCAGTAGAGTCTAAGGGGGAGGCATTGGCCATTAGTTTGGACATAGCGAAGGCCTTCGATCAAGTTTAGCACAAAGCGCTTCTTTCGAAGGTTTCTTCCTATGGGCTTCCCGAGAAATTGTTCAAATGTATCACCAGTTTCCTTGCTGATCGGAGCAATATGGTCTTAGTAGACGGTGCATGCTCTGATTTCAAGCCTATCAACGCTGGTGTTCCACAAGGCTGCGTGCTATCACCAACGCTGTTTCTCATGCATATCAATGATATGTTGCTAACTAGTAGCATTCATTGCTATGCAGACCACAGCACTGGTGATGCCTTATATACCGGCCATGCCAATATTTCTCGGGAAAATGTCGCTGAGTACCGGGACAAACTTGTGTCTGAAGTCTGCTTAACAAAGTCTCGGATTGGGGCCGACTAAATCTAGTCCAGTTCAATCCCCAGAAGACACAAGTTTGCGCGTTTACCGCTAAAAAGAACCCCTTTGTCGTATCTCCTCAGCTTCAAGGCACTCCCCTTGCTGCCTCAGCTAGTATCGGAATCCTTGGCGTCGACATATCGAATAGTGTGCAGTTTCGTGGTCACTTGGAAGGGAAGGCCAAATTGGCCTCTAAAAAGCTTGGCGTGCTCAGCAGAGCGAGACAGTATTTCATGCCGGCACATCGCTTGCAACTTTACAAAGCGCAAGTTCGGCCCCACATGGAATACTGTTCTCATCTCTGGGCCGGGGCACCCCAGTGCCAGCTCCTTCCACTTGACCGCATCCAGCGCAGAGCGGTTCGAATCGTCGACGACCGAGTTCTTTCTGATCGGCTCGATACACTGGCACTGCGTAGAGATGTTGCATCTCTTTGCGTATTTTATCGCATCTATCATGGGGAGTGCTCTGAGGAATTGTTCGGACTAATTCTAGCCGCTCAATTTCACCATCGCACATCGCGACAAAACTCGCGTTACCATCCATACCATCTGGATGATTGGCGGTCCACCACTGTGCGATTTAGAAGAAGTTTTCTCCCTCGCACAACTTCCTTGTGGAATCAATTACCACCAGCGAATTTTCCGGACCAATACCACTTAGGAACCTTCAAGAAAAGAGTTTACACCTTTCTAAAAGGCCAGCAACGCATCTGCAATTACCCTGGCGTTGCGGTTGTTCATGGGTGGCGGTAGTCACTTACCGTCAGGTGAGCCGCATGCTCGTTTGCCCCCTCTTCTATAAAAAAAAGTGGACGACCACGTCTTAGATCCTTATGCCATCACGGGCAAAGCGCTCAGGTTGTGCAATTTTATTTTGATATTTCTAGGCATAAATGACGAGAAGATGTGCCGTAATCTCTTGACCGATCCCCGAGGACTTCGATTTACCAATGATATAGTGATATTGGCATAATCGATGGAAGACCGCAGTACAATGTGCCATAGTGTCTTTCAACGAATAGATCTTAAAATTAATAAAATTGGACAAGACAAAGGTGTAACGTTCATATGACACCTATGTCTTTAGTTTTGGAGAGCTCCACGCTCGAAGTTGTTGACGAGTATTTTTGACTAGTTAAGAGCAACGAGAATGATATAAGAAATTAATTTTGAGACTAATTAGTTTTTGATCTTACAAATAATAAAAGCTGAATTAGCTCCTAAGCGCCCGTTGTAAATTTCGAATCTCGCGAGCAACCCAAGTTCCACTCCCACCGGCACGCGTGGAATTGTTAATTGCAATTTGTACGCCGTAGAGCCGTGGTTGCTCAGATGGTTAGCGCTCGCTGTAAATTTCACAATATGCGAGCAACCCGGGTTCGATCCCCGCCGGCACCAATGTAATTGTTAATCGCAATTTTAAGTGCTGTTTTACCACGTGCTCGTCGGTGAAGGAAAACATCGTGAGGATACGTGCATGTCTGAGAAATAAGAAAAAAAATCGAATACATGTGAAGTTCGTCAACACGCATTGGGGCAGCGTGGTGGACATTTTCTTGCCTTAAAACTCTCTTAAAAATGAGAGGAGGCCTGTGCCCAGCAGTGGGACGTATATAGTATGTAACAAACTAATTTGTACGCTGATTTACTAAGTGATTGGCGGTGAAAATAAACATCGTGAGGAAACCTCTGAGTCTAAAAAATATGATATTTAGAGGGTATGTGAAGTCCACCTGCTCTAATTGCAGCGGTACGGCGGACTAACTGCCGATTAAAAAAAAACAGAACAACGGAAACCAACAGAAAATACTTCTTAGGCAGAAAAGAAGTCGTACTACCTAATGAAAGATATTAACTGAATAATGTCAACTTTTTAGTTTTTCAGAGGGTGAATATATGGGCATGGAATATATGAGATTATTTTAGTTCTAAACCGAAATCAATATTTCGCTGTGTATTAGAATTTTATAATACTAACATCTTTTTTCTTATTAACCTCTCACAGTTCACTCCTTTATGCGAATTACTTCCATTCACCACGCTCGATATACGGATTTGTGATAGCAGTGCCCGATGCGTATGCGATGATGATACATCTTTGTTGCTGTTCTCCGTAGCCATTCGTCCATATTGCCGGCTGTACATTCAGCCGTATACAGCCGAGTGTACAGCCCATTCACAACTATTACTAAACGCAGTGTACGTGTGTTTATTAAATAGCATTCCTTTAATTTTCAACATGAAAACACAGTAAAGATAATAAACAAATTAATAAAATAAAAAACAAAATCTCACTTAAAATAATCTTTTTAATTAATCAGGATAGTAAATACTACAGAAACTAACTGTTAACCAAAATATCAATAATAAAATTTATATAAAAATATTATATTAAAATTTTTTACGTAAATGTTTAACGTAAAATGCTTTATGTTAATCGTAAAAAAAGATAAAGTAAACTTTAATAAATAATTGTGCCCTAGTTTTCGTAACCGCAGTAGTTTTCCTTAAATATTTTATAACACCTATAGTTACGTAAATACGTACGATAAACATCCCAGTGACAGGTTTTCTCAAAGCAAAATATAACTATTGTGAAGGCCCTGAAAATATTTGGATGGTATCAGAAATAAAATGTCCAAAGCATTAAATTATGTGAAACATTTCAAATGTGTCGTCAGTCAACTCAGCACTCAGCCGAAGTAAGAAAGTTATCAATTGATTTAAAATATCGTTACCTGTATTTCCCATTTATCATTAAATTAAACGTTAGTTGTGAGACATTAAATGAAAAGTCAAAGTGCGAGGGAAATTTTTCTGAAAAAGACCAAGTGTAAGCTTATAATCTATTTGGTTTCTAAACTATTTACGAGATAACTGTGTTCATCGCTCAATTTAGCCTTGAGGGTGTCGTAACAGGTAATACGAGTAGGCATCCGATGAGGAATAGAGTCAAAGATCCGATACTTCTGGTATTGAGATTGTCAGTATTGCTGCCATGCTTGATATTTAAGCCAAGTCCTTATTATAAAATTATAGGCCTGCGTTCACAAGTAGTTGTGTGTACATTAGGGTTAACAAAGAAAAGAAGACAACAATTAGTATTATGAGTCAAACGATAAGTTTGATATCATTTTTTTTTTCACATTTTCATCACTACCTTAATAGAATATAAAATAAAATATACAATATCATTTAATATAAAATATCATTTTACAAAGACACATTAGACAAATTGATCGTAATAATCTATTGTTTGTTTCTAGCACTGTTTTATAATTAAAAAGTAATATAAAAAATGCAACAGGTACGTAAGTTGACTAATCACAGGATTTGCGATTTTCATTATTGTCTGCGTGAACCCATGAGGCTGTGCCGTTTGGCAGGATTATTTCCAGTTGATGGACTTACCAACTCATCTGTTTTCTCTTTGAGGCAAGTAAATAAAAAAGAAAGATATATTTTGTCTCTTCATAAAATAAAGCGTGGCGTAAAACAATCAATCACCTATTTAAATAAAACTAATTTTACGGATTTTATCGCGTAAATTAACTTATTTTATATTCCCGACGTTTCGGGTGCTTTCCAGCACCCGTGGTCACGGGGGACTGAGGTGTTTGACGTCCTGCTTTCATAGTTAGCCCGGCTACCTTCAGCTTTTTAATATTAATTTTTGGTTCGATTTACGCAGAATGAGCTTACAGTATCTTGAAGTCTAGCAGTGGTATACTTGGGTTTGGATTTGATTTTATTAATTATGGGATCCCAAGCAGATGGCAGCACCCATCCATCTTCTCTATTGAAGTTAGGATGTTTTTTTAATTTCAATAGCCACGCGAATCATCCTTGGGAGGAATTGGTGTTCTTTTGCGAGGATTTGTGGTCTATCAAATCTAATGTAATGACGGGGATGACCTTGAATATGTTCACAAACTGCAGACTTCCCGATACGTCGGTGCTTCACGTCAGCTATATGTTCTTTAACGCGGGTTTTTATAGATCTTTTTGTTTGTCCTATGTACGAGAGACCACATTCACAATCCAGCTTGTACACTCCTGCATCTTGTAGAGGGATATGACAATTGACGGATGGTAAAAATTGACCAATCTTCTTCAGCGGCTTGAAGTATGTTTTAATGGAAACTCGCTTCAAGATGTAGCCAACCTTGTCTGTGACTCCTCTGACATAGGTTAGTACAGCAGGCACACGCTCGACTGTGGCTGGCTTCACTTGGACACTGTGACGTAGGCGCGGGACCCGAAGCTCGTTGTCTTGCAGTACTTGCTCGACGTGCTGAAGCTCGGCGGTCAGATGTTTTCTGTCACAGATCCCTCGTGCTCTCTGAAACAAAGATTTTCCCACGGTAGCTAACTGTGAATGATGGTGCAATTCACCATTTAAATATCAGTTGGTATGGGTACTTTTTCTGTACACAGTATGACCAATAGTGTTATCAGGATTTCGAATGACTAAATCATCTAGGAAAGCTAAAGTATTGTTTGCCTCTAACTCCATTGTGAATTGTATTTTAGGGTTTATGGAATTAAGGTGGTTTAAAAATGCAGTTAATTTGTCAGATGGTAAAATTTTGAAAGTATCGTCTACGTACCGCTTGTAGAATCTTGGATTTACAGGAGCAGTAAGAAGGGCTTTCTCCTCAAAGTCCTCCATGAATATGTCGGTGACTACGGGAGATACAGGTGAGCCCATTGCCACTCCGTCTACTTGCATGTAGAACTCTTCTTTCCACAATAAATAGCCAGATGTAAGGCAGTCTTTGAGTAATACTGCATATTCTGTGGACATGTTTTTATCTTCTAGCTTTCTTGTAACAATTGAGATGGAGTCTTCAATAGGTAGGCATGTGAATAGTGACTGAACATCAAAACTGACCATAGTTTCATTGTCAGCGAGATGTAGGTCTTTTATCTCACTAACAAAATGGTATGAATCCTTTGTGTGTGCTCTGGTATGTCCTCTTAGTGGTGACAGTATTTTTGCCAAGTGTCGAGCCAACTTATTAGTTGGTGAATTGATCTGGCTTACTCTAGGACGTAGTGGAGCGTTTGGTTTGTGTATTTTCGGTAACCCATACAATCTCGGTGGTTTGGCACATGACGGTATTGTCGATTTCACGTCGAGATCTAATTTTTCGGAGTATTTCTTTATTAAATCAGTAGTTGTTTTAGTGTATTAGTTGTAGGGTCTATTTTGACCTTTTTGTATGTACTTACGTCCGATAAAAGTTGTTGTATTTTGAAATTATACTCGGACGTGTCCATTATTACCGTAGCATTTCCTTTATCCGCGCGGATAATCGTGAACTCTGGTCTGTTGCGTAAGTTGTACAACGCTTTAAATTCGTCTTTGGGGAGATTTAGTTTCGGCGCTGAACTTCGACGTAACAAGGACGAAATATCTTGACGTATAGCCTCTAAATCCTCTTTACCGATATTATTCTTAAACAGACAATCCTCAACACTACAGATAATTTCCTCGTATGGGATTTTTTGCGGCGTTATAGCAAAATTCAAGCCTTTCGACAATACTTTTATTGTAGGATCGTCCAGTGTTACTTTTGACAAATTATAGACCGTGCGTTGTTTATTGTTTACGTCTGTGGTCAACGGTTGTTGCGTTTCGTTTCTACGTTGACTTGTTGATAGTTAAGTTTTGGTATTTTTCTATTTGTTTGTGTTTGCATTCCTTATATTTCGATATTTCGCATTTGTTTAAAGTTTCAATGCAATTATTAAAATCGAATGTCGTTAAAACTGTCTTTAACTCACTGGACAAATTGTCTATGGTATTATTTATGATTTGTAAATCGAACCGTTTTTGCTGAATCACCGTTCGTAACAACTTCTTACTTGCCTGATTTAAGATCTTAGCGCTTCCTCGAATGTCCTTTTTAGTGGATATTTTGACACACGTAGGAATGAGATGGTGGTCGCGGCAACGTTTTAGAAAATTCAATGATGTTAGATATCTTGCGCGCTTGGTCATGAGATCTTCTAATCGGCGAATTTTATTTGCAATTACTTGTCCGTACTGGTTTACATAATGATTTCTTATATTTACGCGAACACCCGGCTACCTTCAGCTTTTTAATATTAATATTTTTATATTACCTAAAATTAATATTAAAAAGCTGAAGATAGCGGGGTTAACTATGACAGCAGAACGTCAAACACCTCAGTCCCCCGTGACCACGGGTGCTGGAAAGCACCCGAAACGTCGGGAATATAAAATAAGCTAATATACGCGATAAAATCCGTAAAATTAGTTTTATTTAAATGTGTGGTGTTCGCGTAAATAAAAGAAATCATAATCAATCACCTTATTTCGTCCCGTTGATGTCGTCGAAGATCTTATGACTTCCTTCCTTCCTTCTTGAATAGCTATATATGTCAATATAGCGATCTCTTTTACGCCAGGCTTGTAATGTTCAGACCTGCGGCATTGGAGAGCAGCGTCAAAAGCGCGAGATGTCTTGAACTTTGATAATAATTAATGTATTATAGGAGAAAAAAAGAGAACATTCGCTTTGCTTAAGCGAGATTGATTGTCCTAGAATTTCTTTTTATTTCTAAGACCTATAAGTTTCCTCAAGATATTTTAATTCACCGCTGAGTTCGTAGTATCAATGCGGCATATTTTATATGTTTTATTTAATGATATTAGTACAACATGCAAATTATTGTGTGGTCTGTATATATTTGTGAGCTTCACATTTCTAATGCCTTTATTACTTTGCAGGTTCAGTCTTAAATTCCCATACATATTGTTCCACGCTGCTTCGGTTATTGGAATAACAATAACAACGGGATTCAGTGTCATCTGGTTTTTTCTAAGTCCTTTCAGTTTAAATACATTAAGTAATTATTATTTATTTTATAATTTCATTGCACTGCTTCTTTACACACTATATTTATTAATATTAGCTTGACATTTCTATGTACATAATATGTATGAATGTAATGGAATTTTATAATTCAGGTTCTATATAAAACATTGCAAACGTAATATGAACCGATAATAGAACAATAATTTTATGACTTCCTCGACTTCTTACTGGTATTATCACAATTTTTTTTTCAATAGTATATTTAACTGTGTTATTCATAAATGTATTTGTTATTTATTAAAATAATTGTTATTCTTTATATATTTTTAAATTTTCAGGTATTGCATTGTTTTATGTGACTGGTTTATTAAGCACAGTACTATTAATTCATCTCGCAATGAATTGGTCGAAGCTAATTAGGAGAGTGCTTGAAATCGAAGTTAATTTAGTGGAAATACGAAGAGCAAAAACGGCGTTTTGGAAATACAATACCATTACTTACATGATAATGTTCTTAGCATTACGTGAGTTTTTCTTTTCTACTTTTGTGGGACATCTATGATATCTAACTATGCGGAAAGATAACTTTTAATGACACACATGTTTTTGTAGGCAAACTATATTTTATTTATTTTTCTCCATCATCATCAACATCATTACCCATGTATAAAGTCCAATCATGCTTATGACCACGTTCTCAGAAAACACTAGCATAAAATAGGAGCATTTTGTTTTTTACGTTTCTTGGTGACAAATTTACCACAGATTAGCACAAAGATGCGCATGAGTCTCTATTGCATAAAGTCGATAATTTATGCGTCTCTAAATATAATATGATGAACCTTACTTTACCGTTGGTTGTCGGTATATCGAGCGGTATAGCCGATGCATTCCCACTGCTTGCTGATGCTGTTGCCGTTTAGCTAAATCAGTTACTCTTCCTCATCATCATTATAGCCTTTCATAAATCCACTGCTGAACATAAGCCTCTCCCAAGGAATGTCAAAAATACTGTCCTCAGCCACCTGCATCTATCAGGTTCTTTCATATCTATCTGGTGGCTATCATCATATCGAAAGCCATTCATTTCCATCGGTTGTTGGTTCTTCGAGATATATGGCCTGAGCATAGCTACTTAATCATGCTGACTAGTTGGGGGATGTCAATCACTCATGTTTTATTTCGGATATACGCACTTGTAATTCTATCACGCAGAACGGTTCTCGGGGAACAGTTCTCTCAACTACTCACTGAGCTACATTATGTTTCCTATTATAGTCAGCAGTGAAGGACTAACAAAATAACATGAAAACAGATGAAAAAAGGGTACAAAAATAAACAGGTCTATTTAAAAGAACAGAGTATAACAATATTTTCTAGTAGCTATTTGCTATTTTTTTAAAGAGTGAAGAAAAAGTAAAAGCATACAAATGTTATGTACTTAATGTTTTATTTACTAAAAATAAGTCATATATTAAAACTATTGTTGCAATATTTTCTATGACATACATATTTTGCCTGTGAAATGAGATTATCGCAAACACTAAAATAATCCTATAAATAATTGCCACACATAAGTTATACAGTTTTCGAAGTACAATACGTCTGGCCTGAACACACGTAACCGACAACAAAGTGTAGTAGTGCAGCGCATAAGATTTATAACTAATTCTTTCTATAAACAGTGAGATCCCTTTATAGAAATGGTAGATAGAGAACTGAGGCACGATGAGTATTAAATTGATTTTTTATTTGCACGTAATAATAAGGTGTTTTCTAATACCAAGTAGCCGTACTACTCTTACTTCTGGGAATTTTCTTCCCAGTAGTCTTACTGGTAAGACTAATGTGAATTTCCTAATGGGCACTTCCTAATACTCTTACTGGTAACACTATCGGGAATCTTCGTTGCGCGTTGTATTCCCAGTCGTCTTACCAAATAATCTTATTAGTAAAACTACTGAGAAATTTTCAACCAAGTAGAATAACATCGCAGTAACTCTCAGTAGTATTACTCTATAAAATGAATGGAATTTTTTATGAGTCAGTTTAGTAGTTTATTTTAGGAATATTACTAAGCAAGCATAAACTTGCAAGAGGCTGTAGGATAGTTCTAGTTTATATTTTGTACACTTATACTATCCATAACAAACCTACGCAATTTAAAACTGATTATGAAGACGCTAACTAAAGATTTACGAACCGCTTTCCCAATAGTATTAGTAAGCGACTCTCACAACAGTGAAAATAGCATCATTTTTACTATTGGGTGCTTATTAATTTAACAGATTTTCAAATTATAGCATCGTGGTATATATATCCAATATCACAGCTAAGTGCGCAGACTGCAGACTTCCCGACAAATTTGTTACTACACAAAGAGTAGGCATATAAAAATAAAAGAATTTTCATTAATCAAATTCAAATTATTTACTCATGGTGGAGGCCGTTGTAGCACATCGCTTCATTTATTATTTAATTATATGCGTGCCGCTTGAGAATTATAATTAAAATCGGCAATGTGCTTGCGAAGATGAAAAATACTGTCGGGAAATCTGTATGTCTGAAAAACTTTTTCTTGCTGAAGCAGAGCAAACGCAATCTTTTTTTTTTTACTCCATATCTATTGTATAATTAATTTTATTTTAAATTATTTTTTTCCTTTTCTGTAACAGCCCGTAAAAGTCCACTGCAGGACGTCATTGGCTCATGAGTTTACTTTAGTTTTTCCTTTGACTATAATGTTCTTCAGACTGAATTTCGGTCACTGCGACTAGTCTTAACGGAGGCTAGTTATCTGCTATGGACACGATTATAGTGCCCGAGTGTATGCCCAGGCATAAGTATACTACTCTCATAGTCCGATGGGGGTTATCCGACATGATCGGAAAGAAACGCTCGACCAAGGGCTTTAAGTGCTTTTTGAGGCGCGGGGGGAGACAACTTCCTGACTCCGATGTTGGCCGGACTTGGGATTTGAACCCGGGACCTTATGATCAGCAACCGCGTTTACGATCACTAGACTAACGAAGCAGTCAAGAGGCAAAAAGTTTGTAAAAGCTTGTCTTTTACCATAGTAACCGTGAAATGGCGGTGTAAGAATATACATGCCTCATATCGACCCGTGGGTGTCTTCCAAATAACTGCTTAAAATAATACTGCGGTTACTGTCATGCCTGCCATGTGATGCCATTTGGTCATTTTTATAACGCAATCTGTGGCTATTGTCCAGCAGTGGACTTTTGATTGGCTGTAACGGTTACCATAGTCACCTTTTACGTCACCCACGGGAAGAAATTAGATGTTGAATTTTCATACACCGTCATTAGTAAACATTATTGTTAATAAATGAAAAAATGTTTCAGTTGAACATGCAATGTCGATAATTTCAAAAATTACGAGTGTAATGAGCGATTTAAATGAATCAAGGGTAACCTATAATGTTCTCGATAAATATTTCTTAAGTTGGGCACCATTCATATTTGATGTAACATCTTACAGTTTGTGGAAATCTATTCTATTTAAGGTAAGCTTAGTTAAGCGAGAGGGTTGTATGTTCGGCGCGTTTTTTATTTATCACCGCCGATATTTTATCTTCCCAAGAGGTTACTTCAGGGGTAACCCATAAATATTTGAAGAATTTCATCCTTAATGGTAGAAAAATATTTAATGTACCTACTTATAGGACATTCTATTCGACATTAATTTTTTACCTTGAATTTTAGATCTTCTTTAGACCATTTAACTGGGTAATATAATTAAACTTTTAATAAAAATTAATAACTGATGTCAAAAAAACACATGCACACGCACACCCACACGCACACGCACACGCACACGCACACGCACACGCACACGCACACGCATACGCACACGCACACGCCCACGCACACGCACACGCACACACACACGCACACGCACACGCACACGCACACGCACACGCACACGCACACGCACACGCACACGCACACGCACACGCACACGCACACGCACACACACACGCACACACACACACGCACACACACATACACACACATACACACACACATACGTATATATATATATATATCCAAACGCGCGCGCGCGTACACACGCACACACAGACACTCACATACATACATACATACACATACACAGCAGTTAATATGTCTTTTAACCTAGCTAGAAGACTCAGAATTATTATTGGTCCTGAGGATGTATTGTATATACCGTAACCAAACCTACATAACCTAACGTCACGGACCGCAACGACCTATCCTTTGCACTACTTTTTTCGGGATTTTGTTTGTCATTAGAATTACTGTAAATAAGCTGAGATATAAAGATATTTTTCGGACGAAAGTAACGTTCAGTAAAATCTATAGTCCGTTCAAGCAGCTTCCGCATTTTTAAAGCAGCTATAGTTTCAAGAAAAACTATAGCTACTTTAAGACATTAACAATAATTCTTAAATTTATTGTAATTCTGTAAAGTTCAATACTACGAAAAATAATATTATATTGATAATAATTTCATTACTATAATTAATAGAATCAGACGAAATTCCTTCTTCAGGGATCTTAGCTAAATAATTTAATTTAATTATTAACTAAAATGTTTTTAAAATTAGTCGCAATAAGAATAAGTAGGTAAATAACAGGACCTACTTCTACTGCGCGTGAAGATTACAGGCACTATTTTTATTTTTATAAAACGAGATTTTTGCGATGTTTTCCTTTACCACCACAAAAAAAAATCGATATTTAAAATAGCAAATAACAATTTCATTCAAGATAACAAGAATCGAACTCGGGTTGTTCGCGTGCTTTGAAATTTGAGAAAACGCTAAGTTCATGACTAATCACTGCTCAAGTGTATACAATGTAATAATAAATGTATAATCTTTATACAGATCGCAAATACGCAGGCGACATTTGCTTGGAACATTACAGACGTGATGACGATGTGTGTAAGCATATATTTAACTTCGTACTTTCAGGATTTAAACGAAATCATCAATAATCAATACGTAAGTTACATTGTAATAAAAATAATAAGTTCCATTAAAATAAAAACATTTTCGATTTAAATTTTATTAATTCGTATGTATGTTATTACTCTAAGATTAATTACTTCATTCTGCTTTGGTGTCATTACAGAAATCAATGTCCTGGGAGAAATTACGCATCTTGTATTCACAACTTGTGGCCCTCGTGAAAGAAATAGACTCCAGATTCTGCTATCTTATACTGTTATCGTTCTTCACTAATCTGTTCTTCATCTGCCTGCAGCTATTCAATACTTTAAAGTAATTAAATGTTACTTGTATTTAAATGATTACTTAACTTTAAATCTAACTTCTAATTAAGGCCAGGATTTCCTATGTTAAGAGGCTTATAGCGGTGCATGCATATTTATCCAGCGCGAAATAAGCGTGTGACATTTATTTGAGCATATTCTGTTTAAAGAACTATTAAATCTCGAGCTACAAAATTAATACAATATTTTGTACAACCTGGCTTTAAAAATTTCTCTTGTAACGTGAAAGTGTCCACAAACATAAATTGCCCACAGAAAACGAATTATTTATTTATTTATTTTTTATAACTGAGATGGGCATCGGAGGAGTCCAAAAAAATTTTACATAATATAATTTATATTTAATAAAGAAGTTACAAGAGTGCATTTATATCACTTATTACTAATAACTTTATTGTTCAGGGATGTCTTAACGTCCCAATGTTATGTGACAAAAGGCATCCCCGGATTCCGGCAATCAGTTTTAATTGATCAATGAAGCGCCGTTGCGTAATCCTAGCAATCGACAAACGAATGATCGTGCATGTGTTTTCGTTATTACGAAACGTTCTACAACAGGTCCCATCCGCAGAGATAGTGATACTCGGTGATTTTAACGCCTTCCACGCTGAATGGCTTGGTTCTCGTTTAACCGATCATGCGAGTAGATCTGTCTATGACTTTGCTTTGGTATATGGTCTAACACAACTGGTTACTTCGCCTACGCGGATCCCAGATGTGGAAAACCATGTACCTTCCCTGTTGGACCTTCTGCTGACCTCTCATCCGGACGGATATCAGGTATCCGTCGATGCCCCTCTGGGCTCTTCGGACCATTGTCTGATCCGGAGTACGGTGCCACTCACGCTCCAATCGCAGTTACGATCTGCAGCTTGCCGCCGTGTTTGGCACTATAGGTCACCTGATTGGGACGGGTTGCGGTCTTTTTTTGCATCCTACCCTTGGGGGCGGGTTTGCTTCTCGCCGGAAGATCCCAGCATTGTTGCCGATTCTGTTGCTGATGTGGTACTTCACTATCAACGACCTGAAGTACGAGTAGAGAAGTACGTAAGTAAGTAAAGAAGTACGAGTATCAACCAACGTTATCTAACAAGTGTAAACTGGGATATAACAAACCATATCCGATAGAAAGCCGCGGGGGCAAATCCAACTTTTCGCTTAGTCGAGTAAATAAAAATGTAAGGTTTTTTTTTTTATACAAGGAAGGCATGCGGCTCATCTAGTGTAACTAAAGCCACCCTGTTGATGGGTATTACAACATCATAGGAATAATTGCAAGGTGACTTGTCGAATTTTAAAAAGAAGTGGGCTCTTTTCTTGAAGATTTATAAATGTTGTCGGCCCGAAAAAGTGTTCATCAATTTTCGTACCACAAGGAAGTTGTGTACACATTTAAGAAAACAAAATATAATTTTTGAAATTATATTCGTTTATTAATTGGATGATGTTTTTTTCAGTTATGGAATTCCCAGGCAAGGCAATTATGGTGATAAAAACTTTAAAAAGTAAGTGATTTAACGTGATTTATGTGAATATTTATTGAGGGCGTGCTTCTTCACCAGTTGAGCTGAACAATTTATCTATCAGCAAAAGCCATTGGCTCCACCACGTAAAAAACGTCTGTCACCATCACAACCATCACCTTCATCCTCTACTGGACATGTGTTACCTCCATTACGGGGACAATTGTAATCATCGTGCTTGAAGGTTGGATTAGCAAACTTTCTGCCAGACGTATCGTAATTTTGACACTGCCTTATTCCTATCGGACACCATCAGATCGTTCTGGCATAACTTCTAGTCGCTTCTTATCACAACCTTGGTGCGAAAGGGGATAATGAACTTTCATATGCCGCAAGCACACGACGCAAGTTGAAAATGTAACTCAATTGTAAAATATTTCATTCCGGTTTTTTATCTTCATGCGTATACTACATATATTCTCCTGTGTATCAAATGACGAATAAAAATAGTTTTTAACATTTTAACGATGCAGGTATATTATGTGATAAGATCCCACCTTCACACAATACCAGCGAAAAGGTGTTGGGGGGAATTATTCTATTCTAATAAGTCATGAGGGGTGACAACATTTCTGTATTTTGATTCTTAATTGACAATAGATGTAGGTTTATATGGGCCACACCATTCACTTTCAATAAAGTTAAGTGTGAGCTCGTTTTTGATTCTGTTTAGGCTTTATCATTGACCTAATGATGTAAGCGTATTGAAGATCGACTAATATAATTGCCAGAATAAATATAGATCTTTATAATGTTTAGTTTTTTTATTTTATAGAAATGTAATATGAAAGGCCTTATCTACAATGATGTGAGAAGGCAAGTAAACTATGAAAGACATAAAGCAGAGGCGAGCAGTGAAGCTAAGCCGTACTGAAAACTGAAGCGCAAACAATAGCTGAAAGGAACGAGAAGCATCAATAATGCGATAAAACTAAATAAAAGTCACCAATTCGGTCATCGGTGATAAAGAAAAGAAGTGGGAAACACCTTGTGTATCACAGAGTCGTACGGAAATTTCTATAGCGTGATTTAGGCTTCAGTTGTTTGTGCATATTAGTCACTAAGATACAATAAGATAAGATAAATTTGTTAATATATGGATCGTAAGCGGAAAGTACGCCTATTGTTTTTTTTTTATTAAACTGAAATATCAAACGAACTTACAATCCACCTGATCGTAAATTTCCACTGCAGTCCAAGGGTGGCTGCAACTAACTTTTAACAAAGCCTCCATGTTTTAAGTTGGTTAGATGCATCATCATCTCTGAGGACTAAGTGGAACGCTTTACAGCTTGTACTCTATATCCTTTAAACCAGAACATGGCTATACAATCACAACTATTTGGCAGCAGAAATAGGTAAACGGGTGGAATTCAATGGATGGTAAAAGAGTCCTAAAATTAAGTAAACTTAAATTTCCTTTGTCCACAGCTCCATTCACAGCACCGTATACCTATTATACTACCTTTACTCCTTCGTGTTTCTAATCACTAGAGCGACTGTGACGTGTTTGTTAGCAGCAAACGTAAACAAAGCTGCACAAGAGCCCATGTTTGTTGTTGGATATGTCCCCGCATCTGACTACACGCTTGAAGTAAGTCATCTTGATGATAATTGAAGGAGATATATATATATATATATATATAGGGTTATTTTGCAATAACCGGCCAAATTTGCAGAGAAGGTTCCGAATAAGTAATAAAGGCAAATAGTGAACAAAAATTAATTAAAACAATGGCAAATGTTCTGTCCTTTTTAAATTCATAATGCGGGGTAATACATTATTTATCTGAGTTTACTGCACACACACATATTTGTAAGGATTGATCGGTAGGCAAAAACGTATAAACGATAAAAGTAGAAGCCTTTTTTACTCGTATTTTCAAAAATTGCAATAACGATATATCATTATCTATATATCTGAACTTACGTTTTTAATTTTTTATTATATACAAAATTAAAATCTTTATTAACGTGTAACGTTGTGAAAAGATGATTTTTTGTCCTAGGGATCATTTTTCTTTCTAACCCATCATCTAAGGTATCGTTAGTACTATGTCTTTGTTTACGGAAGCGTTTCACAAAAAACCTGTATAAAATGTATTATAAAAAATTTTTGGCGTGGAATTGTGTGTATATCAGTGGTAATCATACAAAAGAGTGACTTTCGATAAGTATTATTTATAATCTATATTGAATAAAAAAGTTTCTGTTTCTGTATAAATTTTCCCCGCTTGATGTATTTACAGATTGGGTATTTGAAAATAACTTATTACTGCAGAAGTCGCGTCATATTCGAATAAATAATATTTTTGTTCAGGTGCAGCGATTCAACCGTCAGATCCGTTACACCACGACCGCTTTAAGTGGAGTGTATTTTTATGTGACACGTAGCACTTTACTTTATGTAAGGCAATTTGAAATATATAGCGCAAAATGATATATGATTATGCAACTAAACAGGTTTTATCTTTCAGGTTGTTGGGACTATAATAACATATGAATTGGTACTTCTACAATTTAATTTAGAAACCGCAGATGATGCTGATTTAAATAATAATGGGACTTTGTACAAATATATGAAAATGACGGTTTAATTATTTCTTATGTTGCTTTTATCGTCAATATTACACGCACAATATAGTCAGTTTATGTACGTTGTGATTAAATAATATAATTTACATATACTATATGAGTATTGATGTATCTATGATGTAATTCATTACTAGAATATAAATATTATGCACAATAATGTTTGAATATATTATAAAGAAATTCGAAAATAATTGAATAAATTGGTTGGCATTTTTTCTATCTTGTATTTATTTTTTGCCTTGCATTTAGATTAAATTTAAATTTTTGCTTGTATTGATTAGAAGGTTATTATCTCATTACAATATATAGAGTTTAATAATGTAGTCATATTTTCCCGCTTTGAAAATTAATAATTTTCAAAAGTAGGAAGTTATAGATTTCGGTCCAATTTTGAGAATGCGAGTTTTCATCAGACGGTTTGAGGTCCTAGGATACCGTTCCGATTTCCAGCTGAACGACCGGCCGTGTGTGTACGTGTGTGTGTATGTATGTATGTAAATAAAATTTTGTCGTACGATATGTTTACAACGAATTTACCGATCCAGATGGATTCATTGAGACTTCGAGCTGATTTTGATTGTCAATCGGTCGAGGTCTTTCAAAGATTTTCTAAAAATAAAAACCAAAAAAAAAGCAAAAATAAAATAAACCTTTTGAGCCTTGCGCTCGAAATTAAGCAGGAAGTTCTAGGGATCAACCGTTTTTCAGATTTATTAATGTATGTAACACATATACTAGTACGCTGGACTGGCATTGAACCGATGTCATTGAGTGTAACGGGCACAACATTTTACATAGTTTGCAATTGGTAACAGTTTTGCTCAAAACCTCTTAAAGTATTTAAAAGTTTTAAACGGGAAAAAAGGGTGTTGTGTATTTAGGTAATGTTTCATGTTAGTAATATAACAAAAAGTATTTTTTTAGTAACAATGATAATGTAAAATTCGTCACGAGAAATGAAGTGTGCTAACATTCCACAAGTAAGGGAATTTACAGTTTTTATTAAAAATTTAAACTATTTGACAGTAATACAGGCTCTTACTTATCTTATTAAATGATTTTACTAACATGTTTAGCTTTAAATTACCTATTTTTGATAAATAATATAACTCATTAGGGTTGACGAGTTCCTTGTCGATAATACTTATTGATGTTTTTTTCTACTCACATCAACAATGAGTCCTTGACAACAGATAATCATCAAATATTTATTAATTTACAGGCTTTCAACTGACTAACAAATGTAGGTAACTAAAAAGCATAAAACTTGTGAGTTGGCGTCCAAAGCAAATGGATTAAAACGTCAATGATTTGTAGTATGATATTCTTTAATGAAATTTAAAATTTGGAAAATTCTTATTGTCCTCCATTTGTTGAAACATGCATAATATTTTGGCAGCTTATTGATTTTCTCTATTACTAGGACTAAATTAATGGTTAACAATAAATTCTTTACATTTTTTTAAATATTTATTTTGTTTTTACCTACTCCAGTTTTTACTACTCATTGGGTTTTTATAAACATCTCGAATGAACCATATATACCCAATGATGAAACCTGTTCTATAGTTACGAAGAAAAACGTAGATAGACTAACGCAGTGTCGATTTTTGTTTTATAACAGGTATAATACTTATGTCTAAGACATAAGCGTTAATTTATATTATTATTAATTGATTGATTAATCAGTGGCTTGGTCGTCCACGGTGAAATAAAAGGAACCCACATGGTTGGCCTGAGATGTAGGGTCGGCCCTATGTGGCCACTCCGAGTGGGCTTAGCGAGCCCACTTCCCCTCTCCACTCTCCCTACCCTCCACGGCTGAAACTTGGTAAGCGGCGCAGCCAAAGACCAGACACACCACTGGGGCCGGGAAAGCTAGTGCTTCCGAGTACTGTTTTCCCTTGCCACATGACCTCCGCGTATCGAACTCGGGAGGGTCTGTTTCGGAGGTATAGTTAGAGGCCGTGGAGGAAGGCACACCTTGTTCCTGGTGCGACTTACCTGAGGAGAAAAACGGGGAGGAGAATTACTCTCCGAGGGAGGGGGGCGCAATAGGAAGGCCAGCGCAAAGCATTTCCGTGGCCCTGACAATATGCGGCGAAGGTGAAACACCATGGGGTTTTAGTCGGTGCGAGTCTGACATAACCCGTCCTTGCCCCTGCGAGGCGGGTATGCGTAGGCATCTCCCCATGTAAAAAAAAAGTTTGCTCCGCCATCAATCGTTTCGGGTGTCGTTCATTAATCAGTGTATATAGCGTGCAGATGAAATTGAAAATTAAAAAGAAAAGTTGATATATTTTTCCTTACGAGTATATCCTGTTTCTAACGATCCCTTCAATTAAATTAAGCAATATGACTTCTATTAAGGACGTATATACGTTCCGAGCGCTGATTACCTCAAAACAGTTTTTCAAACCTCTTAATATCCATCAACCGCGTATCTTACACAAATATTAATTACTCATAACATTTAAGAAATTTTATGGTCTAAATAGTTATAAGACATTTTTTTTATATTAATGAGGCGTTTGTTGATAGTATATATTGACGTAACAATATCCATTACCCAGTGCATGTTCCTAATAGCAATTCAAAATAGTAAAACCTGCGGCTGCCAACCCGCCTGCCAAGCGTGGCAGCTATGGCGGAATCCTTCCTATGAGGTAATTTATAGGGGAGACCTATATTCAGCAGTAGATTTTAATAAGCCGTAATCAAATTAATTTAAAAGATATCATAACATTCACCCATTTTTATATTAACAGAATCAGGCGTTACTTTTCGGAATTCCATTATATTAACGTTGGAAAAATTTACTTTGTGAATATCCGCTCAATAAAATAAAATGATGTGTTTGTGTTCTGACTAATGGGTGTGTCTTCTAACGAGGTAACTAGTTAGATGAGCACCTTCCCCAAGGAATGCCACAAAGCACGTTCCTGAGACACCTGCATCCATCGACTTCCTGCATGTCTCACCAGGTCGTCACTCCATATAGTGGGGGGTCGCCCTACACTATGCCTACCAATAAGAGGCTGCCACTCGAGAACCTTTCTTCCCCATCGGTTGTCGGTTCTTCGAGCTATTTGGCCGACCCACTGTCACTTCAGCTTACTAATTCGTTGGGCTAAGTCGGTTACTCTGGTTCTACTGCGGATATCCTCATTTCTAAGTTTATCACGCAGAGACACCCCGAGCATAGCCCTCTCCATAGCTCGCTGAGCGACCTTGAGCTTCCTCATACGGCCAGCAGTGAAGGACCACGTCTCAGATCCGTAAGTCATCACTGGCAACACGCACTGGTTGTACAATTTCGTTTTCAGGTTTTGAGGTATATCTAGCCGAGCCGAGTTGAATCCGTCGATTGACCTCTCGGTCGAAGTTGGACTTACCTAGTCGGACTATTTGGCCCAGGTAAACATACTCGTCAACAAATTCGAGCTTAGTGCTCCCAACAACTACCGGCATAGGTGTGACATGGACGATAAACATGATTTTTGTTTTGTTCATGTTCATCTTAAGACCTATCCTTTAGGAGACACTATTGAGGTCATTGAGCATAGTTCTAAGGTCCTCCAGCGAATCTGCCATAAAGACTATATTGTCGGCAAATCGAAGGTGAGTAATGTACTCGCCATTGATGTTAATACCGCATACTTTCCAGACCAGTAGCTTGAAAACTTCTTCCAATGCAGCGGTGAAGAGTTTCGGGGATATAACGTCACCCTGTCTTAAGACCACTCTGCAGTTGGATAGGTTTCGTACTCTGAATCTGTACTCAGGTAGCCATCGTAGCTCTACTGTACAAACACTTCAGCACTTCGATATACCGACAGTTAAGTCGGCACCGCTGAAGAGACTGCAGCACCGCCCAAATTTCGACGGAATCAAAGGCTTTCTCATAGTCCACATACGAAGGCAAAGTGGCAGATTATAATCCTCTGTCTTCTGTACAATCTGCCGCAGGATATGTACGTGGTCTCTGGTACTAAAGCCCTTTCGGAAACCGGCTTGTTCGTGAAGCTGGAAGTCATCAATTCTGCGTGCTAGACGATTCGTCTTTAGCCTTGACAGTTGGCTATTTCTGGCAGCAGATCTCTGGCAAAGACTTTGGAGCCTTGGTTCTACTCAATTGCTTCTTCAATACAAGTTGTATTGAAGTTGCGTAAGTACCGCCGCATGCATTTGGAGATCTGTCTGTTCAGTAGCCTGTATGCTGTCAAATCTGTTGAAGAATGTAGCTTCAACTCCCGTCTAACAGCCATGATATTAAGAGTGTGATCGGAGAGTTTTTGTGTTCTACTGCGGCGGGTCTTGCAGAACTTAGCTCCGACCGCATGGACAGTTTCCACGAGCTTGTCATTCATATCGACCACTTCATTGCAGTCTTCTAGGCACTGAAAAAGGTTTTGTGACTCGAGCTGAAAAGTTTCGTGACTTTGGATCAGAGCACGAGGAGGACGGAGCGTTGACTTCATTAGATGAGACCTCTCCAACTTAACGTTTAGGTTCAGTGTGCCTCTAACCTTTCGGTGATCGCTACCAGTTTTCACCCTCGCGATCACGGAAACATCACTGAACAGTTGTCGTCTGGTCGTCATAATGAAGTCAATCTCATTTTTTGTCTAACCGTCGGGGCTCGACCAGGTCCACTTCCTGTGGGGCCACTTCTGGAAGAAAGAGTTCATCATAATAAGTGCCTCTTTCTCCATGAAATCGGCCAGCTGCTGGCCTCTTGGGTTCCATTGCCCTATTCCAAATTTCCCTAACTTTCAGCTCACCGTTCTCTCTTGTGCCTAGTTTTGCATTGAAGTCTCCCATTAACACCGTATATTGGGTTTTGGAGGAATGCATGGCTCTAGAGATATCCTCATACATTTCTTCCACATCCTCATCGGGGTGTGCCGAGGTTGGTGCGTAAACCTGTATGACCTTCAGCGAATACCGTTTGGTTATTCTGAGTATAAGGTACGCAACCCTCGTCGACACACTCTCAATC